TTTTCATTATGTGAACGATCGAGGCATCATTAGTTCGCCTTCTAATTTAGAATGTGACAAATTGAAGCAAGATAACACTACGCCCCTATTTGATTCAACTACAAAAATGAATTAAAATCTAAGTAAAAAAATTGTGAAACAAATTTACGCTTTATAACCTTTTCATTGTGTGAACAATCAGGCATCATTAATTGGCCTCCTAATTTAAAGCATGCCAAATTGTAGTGGATAAGACTATGCCCATGTTTCGTTCAACTATAAAAGTGAATTAATATTTAAAATAAAGTCAATAATTAATTTTAATCGCACATTTTATGGAATCCATACATTTTCAATCATATATTTCATCAATTTCTATAAAAGTTTACTAAAATTTTGATTTTTATCTAAACTAAATAGAGCCTATGCGCGTTGACATAATGATAGCTCATTTTAGAATACCAATGTTAAATTAAATTATCTATTTGAGCTTTAGATAAATTGATTATTTGAGTTTTTTTTGGGTTAACGATATCGTATTAAGAATTATAGTTTCATCTTAAAAGTTCATACTTATTAAGAATAATCATGTTGTTTATTATTTTATCTTTATTCGAATTTTACCATTTAACACTAATTTATCCAACTAGACACTTCTATGCTTCAGCTTAATTAATACAACTTCAAAATTTTTACTATTTTTACTCTATGTAAACATAAGGTACTCTATTCCAACAACTGGATAAAATAATTATTAATGATTAGCAAAATCTTTATTCAAAGATAAACCTTAAAATTAATTAATCTGAAAGTTCTACCGTCTAAGCAGCTCAAATGGCTAAAAAGTGGATGCATGTTTCAAACAGAATTGAAAATTTTTTGTCCTGGTGACAATATCATTCTTGGATCAAACTGTGCTTTCCTTTCTAGAAAAGTGTTCCATTTTGAACCAAAATGCTTTATCCAATCTTCCTTGGATTTGTAGTGTGGAAGATATTGCTTCATCTTTATTCCAGCTCTATCACAGAATTCCAGAATTTCATTGTTTTGATTGTCCAAATCTTGCCAGTCATCAAAACTGCCTGAATGCAGTAGTCCCACACAGTAGAAGATATCCTCATCTGGTGTAACTGCAGACATCCTATCATCCCATCTGTACAATATAGTAATACATTACCATTACGCCTTGCAAACTAGAAATACTTTTTGTCGGATATAGACACATAAAAGTCGATACATTTCCGTTTCTTCCCTTTTGTGCATGTGCGTGTATACATATGCTTGTGAGAGGAGTCAGTGACAAGATTTTCTCATAGTAAATGTTGAAAGGGCAAGGTATATATGTATTGTGTGTGTTTGTATGTGTGTGTGTGTATGTGTATGTGTGTGTGTAAGTATGTATGTTGTGATAACCACCCCACCCCATGTTGCTTTACCATTGTGTGCATTCTTTAGTGCATTATAGTTAGTTCAAGATAAGTACTTAGTTTTAGTTGTTGGGTAGACAAGTAGGGGCCCATGGCTCTTCTTTTGTCTGTGAATAATGTCTACAAAAACACCATCATTGAAATCCATAATATGAGACTTTGGTACAAAGAGATTCAGCCATGGATGAGGAACATCCCATAACCCTTTCGATTTTAGTGATAATTCCCCTCGTCGAACTCTATTCAGGAAATCAACATAAGTTTCGTCTCTCGTGAAAGTGAAACCGGGAATATAACTCAATCCCTCCTGCAGCAGTTCAACTTCCTGAAAGAGCAAGAAAAAGAAAATCGATATGTCAAATATTACAGGCCAAACATGTAATAGAGTACACTACATGTAAACACGTACTTTATCGACTGACTTAATGGTCTCGTCATCATAATACTTGACCATGTCTAAACAATAGAGGATGCCATGTTTCTTTAAAAGAGAAGTAATTAGGGATTCATTAGAAGGTGAGAAAAAGGAAGATCTCCAGTTATTTGCAGGAGTATAGTCCATCATGAGAGAGCCCTCCAAATATTCTAGACCTTCGATTGAGATAAGATGTTCTTGATCTCTTGTAAAGATCGAGAAATCACTGTATAGCATTCTCATCCATTTCACCTAATTAAAAGACAGAACACAAATCAGCAATACAACAAATTTGAGCACAATATTGAGAAAACTTTTTTATTGAGGTAATGGTAAAGTACGTTAGATCATTTGTATTGGAATTTAAACTGTTAGGCTGGCTGAATTCGTATTTGTATAAGTCAATTGTTTAGGTGCTTGTTTGGTAGGAATTTTGATATTTGATTTTTTGACTGTTAAGAGATAAAATGAGTCCTATCTCTAAGAGAAGAATTCAAAAATGACAACTTGAATAGTAAAATAATATTCAAAAAATTGATTTTAATTGGTTTAAATCTGTACCAAACAAGCACTAGATCTTCACCACGTAAAAGTGAAATTTGTTCTTTCGTCAAATGCATGATAAAGATACAAATGATGCTGCTAGTGCTAGAATAAATTTTTCTATTTTATTCAAATTTTTTCGAATTACAAATGAGATGATCACAAATTAGTATGGTTGGTAAACCCTATCCTAGGGTTCAAGAATTCAGTGTAGGCTGCAAACACAAATATCTCCTCTGAATTTGCAGAAACTTTTTTTGACTATGAAAAAGTATAAAGTCTATTGTACTCACTCTTTTTGGTGCTTTTGCTAGGAAAATTCTTGCCCTAATTATGATTCCAAACTGCCCCAGACCTCCTAGAACTGCATAAAATAATTCTGAGTTCTTGTCTTTGGAGCAAGTCATGAAGTCCCCTTTACCTAATTCAGACAAATGGCACAATCATCAGTAAAAATGTGGTCATATATTTGCAAAAAATAGCATATACCTGCTAGAGCTTCAGCTACAATTTCTGTCATTCACATAAAATTTACATATATAATCATAATCTCATGAGACATTGCTAATCTGAGGACCATAGAGGAAGGTTTGTCCACTGATTCCAGCATTAGAAAGTGTACCCCCAACAGTTAGGTACAAGTAGTCAGTCCACGAAACAGGTGCAAGGCCATGTTCTAGTGTGGTATTCAGTACATCAATCCAAAGCTGTTCACCTCCAACATCTGCATAATTTCCTGATGTAGAAACCCTAATTCCATTCCCATTTTCGTAGTATTTCTTTAAAGAAGGCATCTTCACCACTACCCCCTTATGTGCCATGGCCTGTCCTCTCACAGAATGTCCGTGGCCTTGTGCTGCCACGTTAAACGGGTGTGGACATATGTTAGAGAATTTGATTAGCTCGATAATATCGGCTATGGATGTTGGATAAAGAACTGCGGAAGGAATTTCTTGAACAATATTACCATAGTCGGTCGAGGCAAGTCCAATGGCTTCAAGATCATAGCAAAGCTTAGAACCGATAACTGGGGAATGAATTTCAGAAGCAAGTGAATTGTTTGATCGCCTTAACTTCCCTATAATGGACATTAAACGGCTTACGATGAAGAAGACAATAAAATGTGCAGGAATTAGACAACGACTAGCCATTTTTAGAGAGAGAAAACGGAGATTGAAATTTAAGAAAGATATGATATAATCTTATGAATGAAGGTGCAATTTATAGAGAGAAATTTGCACGGAAATGTGGATTTGTGAATCTTGGACTGGTACTATCTAGTACTGTAGCACGTGTGAAACCTTGACATATTGCACAACAATTTATTATCAAAGATACGAGTTAAAAGGAGAGATTTTTATACTTGCTCTTTTTTTCCAAAACTTCGTGACTTTCTCATGCATGTATTAAAATCTGGATATGTATGTCTTGCTTTGTTTGGATTAAAATCAGATTATATAACAATTAATTATAATCACAAACTTATGAGATCCACAACTTTTCAAATACGTATTTAATCAATTTTTATCAAAATTTACTAAAAATTTAATTTTAATCTACATCAAAGAGAAGCATAACTATGAATACCTTAATAATACAATAACCAAAAAAATAATAATAATAAATAATAATAATAATTGGTTAAGCCCCATCCAAGTGTGTGTATGTCTGTATGTGTGCAATTGTGTGTGTGTGTGTGTGTGTGTGTGTATATGTACGTAGAAATAGGCATTTTGCTTCTTCTCCCTTCTAGAATATGAATAATTGTAATAATTAGGTGCATGTAAAAGAATCTTGGAAAATAACCATTTGGGATATGATGGAGTTGTCAAATATGAAGGGGCATTATTTTATAGGGTTAAATTATCATAGAAATAGATAGGAAATGAAGGGGAAACATCACCAAAGATTTTCTTCTTAATTCTAAGATTTGGTTTGTAGGTCAAGATTTGGTTTGTAATTACAATGCCTATGTCGTCCCATTAAATCACCTTTTAGTCCTCAGTTTTGTCAAATGTGAAAGGAGATGCATGCGTTACATGGAATTTGACAGATATTTGAATTGAAAATGACAGAGCAAGTCTTTCAAAACAACTATTAAACATATATATCTTGTAATCTTAAGCCAATCTATTAATGAAATTGAATTGCAATAGGAAAGAAAATATGGACTGTCCCGGAAATGCCATGCGATCACATGGCATCAGATGTTGCAATCGCGTGGTTCTAACTTTTAGCATTCAATGGATACAATTATTCATCTTCTAATTGTCATGGTCTGCCTTGAAATCGCAATTGAATCCATTTATAGTTAGTTCAAGATAAGTACTTAGTTTTAGTTGTTGGGTAGACAAGTAGGGGCCCATGGCTCTTCTTTTGTCTGTGAATAATGTCTACAAAAACACCATCATTGAAATCCATAATATGAGACTTTGGTACAAAGAGATTCAGCCATGGATGAGGAACATCCCATAACCCTTTCGATTTTAGTGATAATTCCCCTCGTCGAACTCTATTCAGGAAATCAACATAAGTTTCGTCTCTCGTGAAAGTGAAACCGGGAATATAACTCAATCCCTCCTGCAGCAGTTCAACTTCCTGAAAGAGCAAGAAAAAGAAAATCGATATGTCAAATATTACAGGCCAAACATGTAATAGAGTACACTACATGTAAACACGTACTTTATCGACTGACTTAATGGTCTCGTCATCATAATACTTGACCATGTCTAAACAATAGAGGATGCCATGTTTCTTTAAAAGAGAAGTAATTAGGGATTCATTAGAAGGTGAGAAAAAGGAAGATCTCCAGTTATTTGCAGGAGTATAGTCCATCATGAGAGAGCCCTCCAAATATTCTAGACCTTCGATTGAGATAAGATGTTCTTGATCTCTTGTAAAGATCGAGAAATCACTGTATAGCATTCTCATCCATTTCACCTAATTAAAAGACAGAACACAAATCAGCAATACAACAAATTTGAGCACAATATTGAGAAAACTTTTTTATTGAGGTAATGGTAAAGTACGTTAGATCATTTGTATTGGAATTTAAACTGTTAGGCTGGCTGAATTCGTATTTGTATAAGTCAATTGTTTAGGTGCTTGTTTGGTAGGAATTTTGATATTTGATTTTTTGACTGTTAAGAGATAAAATGAGTCCTATCTCTAAGAGAAGAATTCAAAAATGACAACTTGAATAGTAAAATAATATTCAAAAAATTGATTTTAATTGGTTTAAATCTGTACCAAACAAGCACTAGATCTTCACCACGTAAAAGTGAAATTTGTTCTTTCGTCAAATGCATGATAAAGATACAAATGATGCTGCTAGTGCTAGAATAAATTTTTCTATTTTATTCAAATTTTTCCGAATTACAAATGAGATGATCACAAATTAGTATGGTTGGTAAACCCTAGCCTAGGATTCAAGAATTCAGTGTAGGCTGCAAAGACAAATATCTCCTCTGAATTTGTAGAAACTTTTTTTGACTATGAAAAAGTATAAAGCCTATTGTACTCACTCTTTTTGGTGCTTTTGCTAGGAAAATTCTTGCCCTAGTTATGATTCCAAACTGCCCCAGACCTCCTAGAACTGCATAAAATAATTCTGAGTTCTTGTCTTTGGAGCAAGTCATGAAGTCCCCTTTACCTAATTCAGACAAATGGCACAATCATCAGTAAAAATGTGGTCATATATTTGCAAAAAATAGCATATACCTGCTAGAGCTTCAGCTACAATTTCTGTCATTCACATAAAATTTACATATATAATCATAATCTCATGAGATGTACCTAACACATGCAGGTACATATTCCTTTGACAAAATTCTGATCAAGTGAATCCTACCTAGAAGATCTTTCAAGTGCCCAGAAACAATCAAAATCCAATGATGATACTTTTTTACATATATTGTCACTTTGGTATTTGTATATTTTCATATTTTGAACACAAATGTACTTTAAAACCAGGGTAACTAGGAGATCTAAGGAGATGCAACCATATTTCGCAAAAGCTATCGCTGATAAGGAAAAGCGCAACGTCACCCCAAGCACTAGTTTTTGGACCTTATATCTAAGATTCCCTTATGAAACAGGTCCACCTTTATGCTTAAGTGAGGGTCTGCATCGATAGTAAGAATTATATACATCGTAAAAGATTTGAAAATGTACCCGTAATAACATCCATTTCAAGAACATTGCTAATCTGAGGACCATAGAGGAAGGTTTGTCCACTGATTCCAGCATTAGAAAGTGTACCCCCAACAGTTAGGTACAAGTAGTCAGTCCACGAAACAGGTGCAAGGCCATGTTCTAGTGTGGTATTCAGTACATCAATCCAAAGCTGTTCACCTCCAACATCTGCATAATTTCCTGATGTAGAAACCCTAATTCCATTCCCATTTTCGTAGTATTTCTTTAAAGAAGGCATCTTCACCACTACCCCCTTATGTGCCATGGCCTGTCCTCTCACAGAATGTCCGTGGCCTTGTGCTGCCACGTTAAACGGGTGTGGACATATGTTAGAGAATTTGATTAGCTCGATAATATCGGCTATGGATGTTGGATAAAGAACTGCGGAAGGAATTTCTTGAACAATATTACCATAGTCGGTCGAGGCAAGTCCAATGGCTTCAAGATCATAGCAAAGCTTAGAACCGATAACTGGGGAATGAATTTCAGAAGCAAGTGAATTGTTTGATCGCCTTAACTTCCCTATAATGGACATTAAACGGCTTACGATGAAGAAGACAATAAAATGTGCAGGAATTAGACAACGACTAGCCATTTTTAGAGAGAGAAAACGGAGATTGAAATTTAAGAAAGATATGATATAATCTTATGAATGAAGGTGCAATTTATAGAGAGAAATTTGCACGGAAATGTGGATTTGTGAATCTTGGACTGGTACTATCTAGTACTGTAGCACGTGTGAAACCTTGACATATTGCACAACAATTTATTATCAAAGATACGAGTTAAAAGGAGAGATTTTTATACTTGCTCTTTTTTTCCAAAACTTCGTGACTTTCTCATGCATGTATTAAAATCTGGATATGTATGTCTTGCTTTGTTTGGATTAAAATCAGATTATATAACAATTAATTATAATCACAAACTTATGAGATCCACAACTTTTCAGATACGTATTTAATCAATTTTTATCAAAATTTACTAAAAATTTAATTTTAATCTACATCAAAGAGAAGCATAACTATGAATACCTTAATAATACAATAACCAAAAAAATAATAATAATAAATAATAATAATAATTGGTTAAGCCCCATCCAAGTGTGTGTATGTCTGTATGTGTGCAATTGTGTGTGTGTGTGTGTGTGTGTGTGTATATGTACGTAGAAATAGGCATTTTGCTTCTTCTCCCTTCTAGAATATGAATAATTGTAATAATTAGGTGCATGTAAAAGAATCTTGGAAAATAACCATTTGGGATATGATGGAGTTGTCAAATATGAAGGGGCATTATTTTATAGGGTTAAATTATCATAGAAATAGATAGGAAATGAAGGGGAAACATCACCAAAGATTTTCTTCTTAATTCTAAGATTTGGTTTGTAGGTCAAGATTTGGTTTGTAATTACAATGCCTATGTCGTCCCATTAAATCACCTTTTAGTCCTCAGTTTTGTCAAATGTGAAAGGAGATGCATGCGTTACATGGAATTTGACAGATATTTGAATTGAAAATGACAGAGCAAGTCTTTCAAAACAACTATTAAACATATATATCTTGTAATCTTAAGCCAATCTATTAATGAAATTGAATTGCAATAGGAAAGAAAATATGGACTGTCCCGGAAATGCCATGCGATCACATGGCATCAGATGTTGCAATCGCGTGGTTCTAACTTTTAGCATTCAATGGATACAATTATTCATCTTCTAATTGTCATGGTCTGCCTTGAAATCGCAATTGAATCCATAAGTAACTCATCAAATTAAGAAAATAGTTTCATCATGATACAAATAGATTATTTGTCCATAACATACTTTATGAACTATTTAAGTGTTATGTTTTTGCTATATAGTAGTTTTATATTTAATGAATTATTATGATAGCTTCATTTTATTATGTGTCCCTTAATTAAATTAAAGAGCGACACTATTTTAGTCCCTGTTTGATTTCCATTTTTTGACCACAAAAATAAAAAATATAACCGTTATACATCACATCAAGCTACCATATACGATTTCCTATCTCTTGTGTAGATCTCGTAACGACTATATTTTTCATTCTCATTCTTACAAAAGCTGGTACCAAACGGGATCTTAGTTTTGACATGACCCTCAAAATCACAAAATAGACATAATATGTTTATGCTAACACCAGAACTCGACATCATAGATATCTTCGCATCCAAGAAAAAACATATAAATATAGGCATGTAGCAAGAGTGAAATGGAATATATAGTCAACTAAAATCTTTGACAATTGACCTAGTAGAATGTACCTAACACATGCAGGTACATATTCCTTTGACAAAATTCTGATCAAGTGAATCCTACCTAGAAGATCTTTCAAGTGCCCAGAAACAATCAAAATCCAATGATGATACTTTTTTACATATATTGTCACTTTGGTATTTGTATATTTTCATATTTTGAACACAAATGTACTTTAAAACCAGGGTAACTAGGAGATCTAAGGAGATGCAACCATATTTCGCAAAAGCTATCGCTGATAAGGAAAAGCGCAACGTCACCCCAAGCACTAGTTTTTGGACCTTATATCTAAGATTCCCTTATGAAACAGGTCCACCTTTATGCTTAAGTGAGGGTCTGCATCGATAGTAAGAATTATATACATCGTAAAAGATTTGAAAATGTACCCGTAATAACATCCATTTCAAGAACATTGCTAATCTGAGGACCATAGAGGAAGGTTTGTCCACTGATTCCAGCATTAGAAAGTGTACCCCCAACAGTTAGGTACAAGTAGTCAGTCCACGAAACAGGTGCAAGGCCATGTTCTAGTGTGGTATTCAGTACATCAATCCAAAGCTGTTCACCTCCAACATCTGCATAATTTCCTGATGTAGAAACCCTAATTCCATTCCCATTTTCGTAGTATTTCTTTAAAGAAGGCATCTTCACCACTACCCCCTTATGTGCCATGGCCTGTCCTCTCACAGAATGTCCGTGGCCTTGTGCTGCCACGTTAAACGGGTGTGGACATATGTTAGAGAATTTGATTAGCTCGATAATATCGGCTATGGATGTTGGATAAAGAACTGCGGAAGGAATTTCTTGAACAATATTACCATAGTCGGTCGAGGCAAGTCCAATGGCTTCAAGATCATAGCAAAGCTTAGAACCGATAACTGGGGAATGAATTTCAGAAGCAAGTGAATTGTTTGATCGCCTTAACTTCCCTATAATGGACATTAAACGGCTTACGATGAAGAAGACAATAAAATGTGCAGGAATTAGACAACGACTAGCCATTTTTAGAGAGAGAAAACGGAGATTGAAATTTAAGAAAGATATGATATAATCTTATGAATGAAGGTGCAATTTATAGAGAGAAATTTGCACGGAAATGTGGATTTGTGAATCTTGGACTGGTACTATCTAGTACTGTAGCACGTGTGAAACCTTGACATATTGCACAACAATTTATTATCAAAGATACGAGTTAAAAGGAGAGATTTTTATACTTGCTCTTTTTTTCCAAAACTTCGTGACTTTCTCATGCATGTATTAAAATCTGGATATGTATGTCTTGCTTTGTTTGGATTAAAATCAGATTATATAACAATTAATTATAATCACAAACTTATGAGATCCACAACTTTTCAGATACGTATTTAATCAATTTTTATCAAAATTTACTAAAAATTTAATTTTAATCTACATCAAAGAGAAGCATAACTATGAATACCTTAATAATACAATAACCAAAATAATAATAATAATAATAAATAATAATAATAATTGGTTAAGCCCCATCCAAGTGTGTGTATGTCTGTATGTGTGCAATTGTGTGTGTGTGTGTGTATATGTACGTAGAAATAGGCATTTTGCTTCTTCTCCCTTCTAGAATATGAATAATTGTAATAATTAGGTGCATGTAAAAGAATCTTGGAAAATAACCATTTGGGATATGATGGAGTTGTCAAATATGAAGGGGCATTATTTTATAGGGTTAAATTATCATAGAAATAGATAGGAAATGAAGGGGAAACATCACCAAAGATTTTCTTCTTAATTCTAAGATTTGGTTTGTAGGTCAAGATTTGGTTTGTAATTACAATGCCTATGTCGTCCCATTAAATCACCTTTTAGTCCTCAGTTTTGTCAAATGTGAAAGGAGATGCATGCGTTACATGGAATTTGACAGATATTTGAATTGAAAATGACGGAGCAAGTCTTTCAAAACAACTATTAAACATATATATCTTGTAATCTTAAGCCAATCTATTAATGAAATTGAATTGCAATAGGAAAGAAAATATGGACTGTCCCGGAAATGCCATGCGATCACATGGCATCAGATGTTGCAATCGCGTGGTTCTAACTTTTAGCATTCAATGGATACAATTATTCATCTTCTAATTGTCATGGTCTGCCTTGAAATCGCAATTGAATCCATAAGTAACTCATCAAATTAAGAAAATAGTTTCATCATGATACAAATAGATTATTTGTCCATAACATACTTTATGAACTATTTAAGTGTTATGTTTTTGCTATATAGTAGTTTTATATTTAATGAATTATTATGATAGCTTCATTTTATTATGTGTCCCTTAATTAAATTAAAGAGCGACACTATTTTAGTCCCTGTTTGATTTCCATTTTTTGACCACAAAAATAAAAAATATAACCGTTATACATCACATCAAGCTACCATATACGATTTCCTATCTCTTGTGTAGATCTCGTAACGACTATATTTTTCATTCTCATTCTTACAAAAGCTGGTACCAAACGGGATCTTAGTTTTGACATGACCCTCAAAATCACAAAATAGACATAATATGTTTATGCTAACACCAGAACTCGACATCATAGATATCTTCGCATCCAAGAAAAAACATATAAATATAGGCATGTAGCAAGAGTGAAATGGAATATATAGTCAACTAAAATCTTTGACAATTGACCTAGTAGATCACATTACCAACAACATAAATATAGTCAGATTCTGGTCCCTACATGGATAACTCGAAAACCAAATTACTGATTTTGGTATTTTGTGTGCAAGACAAGTAATAATCCTTAATTCATCAACAAATTACTGATCCCAAAAATGTCTATGATTAACTTACAGAATGTAGTATGCATTGTATACGTATAAACAGTTGAGACTTGAGAACAATTATTTATATCGCTCATAGAATCCTTGTACAGGGAAAAAAATAATGACATACAAAAAATATAAAATAAAAATGAGAAAAAAAAACAGTATGGATTGTTAGAACTTTCCACTCTATAAAAAAATTGTAATTATTGTTAACCTCGTTTTCAATTAGAGTGACATGGACAATAGATATTGAGCCCACTCGTGTACATGTAATCAAATTCCAACACGTATGGGCAGGATGTCAGTCGATAATACTCTGATTTGGACGTGAGAGAGCTTAATACCACGAGACAAATATGTTCGGGCTCCGATAATATATTTCGAGTACGATTGTATGATAATAACCAATCGTAAACTACTCCAATAATGTGAGATAATCTTAACTCAAGCAAACAAATGTATGAAAATAAACAAAATGATAGCCTCAAGTAGTTTTGGTTTGCCTTCAGCCCCAAATGATACAAGGAGGGGTATTTATAGTGTTACACATAGAATGTTGCCCAATAGATGAATATACACGTGGCTTCATCTCCTGAACGGAGCATTTAATCTTAGACATTAATTCAAACTTTCTAGCTTGAAGCACATTTAATGCCCCTACAGATTGCAACAACCTTACAATCTAAACTAACAAGACTTTGACATTCTACTCATTATAAAGGTCCAATCAATCATTCCAAAAGAATCATACATAAATTCAAAATTTTCACATGTGAATCGTCGTTTGAGCTTCGACTTTGACCTTTGTTAAATTTCATCACTTTGGCAAGGAGACTTTGGAGCTTTGTCATTAGCACAAAACTACTTCAATAATTATAGATTCGATGCTTCAAATTATAGACTCCAATAATCCACATGGCTTCATCACAAGGGCTTTAGGAGGTCGGTCATATAGAGCCTTCGTGGCGAGGTGTAACAATAAGTCCGGGTACGGTTATTTATACCATGTGTGGACTTTAGTATTAAGTGAAACATATTTTGGGTCAATTTTCCTGTCATGGTTAAATTTTTGACAAAAACAATAGTGCCCATATATTTATAGCATGACTGGAATTCAAAGTTGAACCTAATTCTTGGATATCGTCTTACTCTTATGCAGAGCTAAATTGTTGAAATTCCTTTATTTCGATAGAAATTGAAATTTATTTGAGTCGTAGCATGGAAGAGGCTGAGCTATCGAGGCCCTTTATTTTAATAGAAACAAAAATTTGTTTGAGCCGAAGCAAAGAAGTGCTGAACTGTCAAGGCTCCTTTGTTTTGATAGAAGCTGAAATTTATTTGAGCCGAAGCAAGAGAGTGCTGAAATGTCGAGACTCATTTGTTTTGATAGAAGCTGAAATTTATTTCAACGGAAGCAGGGAAGTACTGAATTGTCGAGGCTCCTTTGTTTTGATAGAACTGGTCCCGACAATTGTGCCAATAATTTGATGTTTTTGCAAGTTACCAAGAAAAGACAACGAAAGTGTTGCGACTTTCGATACATGCACTAACGTTACATTTAATGCACAATGATGGCCATGCTGCAGTGTTTTGAGGTTGACATATTGAGGCACATAGGAGAAGAACACGCGTCAATCTAAGGCGTTGACAAAAGAAACTATTCGAATTCAATGCCTCAGATGTAACCAAGAATCGAAGCTTTGGATGGATTAGATTTCAATAAAACAGCTATGATTCTTTTATCTCTTGCATATAAGCTAAAAGCTTGCCATTATTTTTAGCATTTACTTTTACGAAAATCTTCAAACTCTCCAGCATTTCCTAAACTCTTTCAGCAATCTTAGTTCTCCGACGATATCACATCTCTGTAACTTCCTTGGATTTAGGTAATTTCTTATGAGACTATTTCCCCCACCATTTCCACCTCATCTTTCAATGGCATCTAGGTCGAATGCTAGTAGTGCTAGGGAAAAGTCGCCACGGCTAGTGAAGAGGCTATGCTTGGTAGGTCGATAGGGGATTACTGAGTGATGAGTGAAGGTCCCATCGACTACAAGGTGGGGTGGGAACAATAACAATCCTTTGACCATGACCTCCTCTAAATTAGCCAAACTTGTGAAGAAATTTAGGATCCCGGACATAGTAGATCTAACAATCCCCGAAGCTCACGAACGTACCTGTTATCCGAAGCTCGATTGTGTGGCCGTTAGTAAATAACTGTTGTAAGAATGTATGTGTCTACCACTGTACCCATTTTTAGAATGCAGCTTCATTTTATTATGTGTCTCTTAATTAAATTAAAGAGCGACACTATTTTAGTCCCTGTTTGATTTCTATTCTTTGACCACAAAAATAAAAAATATAACCGTTATACATCACATCAAGCTACCATATACGATTTCCTATCTCTTGTGTAGATCCCATAACGACTATATTTTTCATTCTCATTCTTACAAAAGTTGGTACCAAACGGGATCTTAGTTTTGACATGACCCTCAAAATCACAAAATAGACATAATATGTTTATGCTAACACCAGAACTCGACATCATAGATATCTTCGCATCCAGGAAAAAACATATAAATATAGGCATGTAGCAAGAGTGAAATGGAATATATAGTCAACTAAAATCTTTGACAATTGACCTAGTAGATCACATTACCAACAACATAAATATAGTCAGATTCTGGTCCCTACATGGATAACTCGAAAACCAAATTACTGATTTTGGTATTTTGTGTGCAAGACAAGTAATAATCCTTAATTCATCAACAAATTACTGATCCCAAAAATGTCTATGATTAACTTACAGAATGTAGTATGCATTGTATACGTATAAACAGTTGAGACTTGAGAACAATTATTTATATCGCTCATAGAATCCTTGTACAGGGAAAAAAATAATGACATACAAAAAATATAAAATAAAAATGAGAAAAAAAAAATTTTTATATGACATTTTTTTGTTTGTTTTTCAGTTTTGTTGAACCACTTCGAGCTACATCAAGCTGAGTGGGATGTCATTGAGGACATTTAAAAAGGCGTCCTTTGAAGCTACACCACTTTAACCACCTCATCAACCAAAGCAAGTACTTTATAGACTTGGACTAATGGCCTTGAAAGGTAAACACCAAAGCATTATTGAGTACATAAACTTTCCACTCTATAAAAAAATTGTAATTATTGTTAACCTCGTTTT